ACTTAATGATCTGTTTATCAACTTCATCACGGCTTGGCATAGTATCTCTGGCAGAATACAAAGCATTCAGATTTTTTTCGGGTAGAGCAATCTTATTTTTCATAGCTTCCTGAGAAGGTTTTGCTCTCTGTTTATCTGTATTTTCATTAATTTCGCATTGCTGTTGTGATTTATTACCGGGTTTCATTTTATCTTCTTCCTCTTTTTAATATTTGAAGCTGACTGTATAATTTGTGTTTTTTCTGCAGGTTTACAGGTTGAATAAAAATAAAAACTTTCTATGGCTTCTGCTGAAGATTCTCTTATTAAGCTACATAAATACAAAGTATGGCAATATATATGGTAAATACAAAACCCTATGGCTTTAAATCTAATATGTTTAAACGAGCAATTCGTTGCGGTCACAAAATACAGAGTGTTAGTTTTCTGTAGATATGTATAAAACTAAGATCCTATACTTTGTGACCAATTGACGGAATCAATCATAAGAAATAAATCTACAATATAATGAATATTACCTCTATACTTTGAGATAGGCCATAACATTTTCTAATCAGTAAAGAGAAACTTTTTGGCGATTTCTAATATTTCTAGTACTCATAGGTACCTAAAATGATTTCGTCACTCGCCTTAGAAAAAAAATTTAGTAGATTGGATTTATTCTTAGTCGCTGCTTGCAATTCTTCTTCGATTCTCTTAGATACAATAATATCTAGTCGGATTTTGCTTGTAATTTGTAACTTCGCCGCACTTCGTTAACTAACTTTTGTACATTTTGTACTTTCCTACTAGTATGAGATTTTTTAAAACTTTCAAACAATTTTTGGTATAACTTGGATTTGTCTATGTGAAACGACATCTTATTTAAACATCAAACTTTGGCTAGTGGAATCAATGGTAACACAAATGTTAACTTGCTCTACTATGCTTACAATACGTCTACTCGCTATAGTATCCAAACGAAACAATACACTGCTGGAGGAAAATTTGGACAAGTGAACACCGCGCGGTAATTCCCCTACTCGGTTCTAAAGCGAGTAGGGGAATTACCGCGCGCTGTTCACTAAACGTATGCATTATTCGAGGGAATCCCCGAAAATACGTTTCGTTTTCAAGCAAAGACAATGTGAGGGTTGCCATTCGTGTAAAAAAAGTAAATAACTACCGATGACGTAGTCATCATCTAGACTTCCCTACCCCCCATATAATCCAAAATAAGCAAAGCAAAGATCCCCCCTCCCCCCCATAGTGCTCACGTAATACTTGAACGGTCCCTTACGTCTAACTACAAAAGTTGTATGTGTATACGCTGGTACTGAATTTGCACCCTTTAACCTATTTTACAGTACGCTATTTAAAATTTAGAATCTGAGTTAACCATGAAAATAAAGGGTGAAACACATTATAATTCAAATAGCCTGCCTCGGCTATTCAGACAGCATCTCATTCCCAATTTTTAAGTACTTTTTGGATTTTTAGTCCCTAAGTCTCTTAAATAGCGGCTTCAATTTTGTGTTTCAAGGCCTTAATTGTTTCTCGATCGTTAGCAAAATATTCATCCTCAACGGCTCCCCAACGAAAACACTCCGATGGATTCAAACCGCAGCAGGCGGCCTTTTGACGTCACAATTTCAACTGATCATTCGTGTCGGTGCCAAGTTTGATAGTTAATTGTATGGGAACCTGCAACGTCCTATTGAAAACAATTGTCCCCACCCAATTTTGGCGGAATCCAAATAGATGGTAAAATTAAAAATTAAGCTTTTTCAGAAAAGGAAATTAAATTTTTTTAGAAAAGGAACAAAATCTTCCACTGAAGGAAGGCCGGCCTGGAGGAAGTTACTGTGACCGCGAGAATTTTAGAATTCCAAACGTTTCTTCATGTTTTGCGATGTCTACAACACGTAAATATATGAGCCTCCCCCTCCCTTCCCACTTCAGTTGGCCCAACTATTGAAATCTTAGTTTTTTTCTTATCAAACACAAATAATAAAAATGTAGCAGGGTGTTATAGGTTTAAAATATTAACAATGAATATTTTGATAATATATAGTAGAAAACACCAACCTTATCACTCCCTAATCAAATTTGCAGTATAAAAATAACACATGTTGCAATTACAGCATATCAACCTATTTTCATTTCAATGCAAAATAAGTCTATAACGCATAGGTGGCAGTGAAAAATAAAAGCCATGACAATTGTTTTTATTAATCACATCTGTCAGAATACGTTTAAAATAGTTTTGGGTAGTTAAGGTTTTCAAAATGGGTAGAGGAAAGATTATTAGTAAGAAAATTCGGTTACTGATAATTAATTTTTTTAATTCTGGGAAATCAAACTCAGAAATTGCAACTTTGTTAGACTTATCGCGGTAGAGGGTGAGAAATATTTTTAGAAGATATAACGTAACTGGTTCAGTTAATATTAAGCCCCGATATGTGAAAAAAGTTATATCACAAATGCCGACCGAAGAGCATTAAGAAGAATAATCGTGAAAAACAGTCGAGTCAATTATTTACAATTAAGTGCTCTGTGGAGTGACGCTGTTGGAAGGAGAATTTTGAGGTTCACAACTCATAGAGAGGCCCACAAACTGGGATTTAGCACTTGCAAGGTAAGTTTTCTTATAAAAAAGTGAAGTAAAAAACCCTAAAGTTGCACAACTTATTTATAGGCCAAAGAAAAGCCACTATTAACTCCACTGTAAAAGAAAAATCGGCTTAGATTAGTGCAATACAATGGAGTGATGAGACCCGATTCGATGTTTGTGTTGGTGACAATCGAACTAGAGTTATTCGCAAAAAAAGAAGCATTACATGTTGACTGTCTGAAGAGAAAAGTGAAATTTCCAGCATCGATTATGGTCTGGGGCAGTATGTCATCAAAAGGAGTAGGAAATCTTCATTTTATTGATGGACATGTGGATACAAACAAATATTTGGCAATTTTAGAAGAATCGCTTTTACCAGTGATGAAAGAATGTTTGACATCCGGCCAAGATTTTGTGTTTCAGCAAGATGGTGCACCGTGCCATACCTCAAAAAAGGCTATAAAATGGATGGTGAAAATAATGTACCAATTTTGAAATGGGTTTCTAGCAGTTCAGATCTGTCACCTATTGAAACTTTGTGGCACGAGATGAAAAAGGTTCTACGACAACATCCTGCTCGTACAATCACCGAACTGAGACAAAAGCTTCAAGAAATATGGGATTGTTTTACACAAAATTTTTGCCAAAACTTGGTTAACACTCTGCCCCAAAGAATTTCAGCCGTAATAAAAAATAAAGGTGATGTTACCCAATGGTAATTTTTCAATTGTTGCTTTGTTAACTTCGCGCGTTTAGTTGCACATTGTTTATTTGTTCAGATGTTCTATTAGTTATAGGTCTAAGTGATTTCAAATATGTATTTTTTACGACTAGAGTGTATCTAAAATGTTTTTGAGAAAATAAATTGTTTTGGAAGTAAATAGTTTCGTCATGTTTAGTTTATAAAGGCATATTTTGGTACAAATCTTGAAGTGGGCCAACTGAAGTGGGAAGGGGCTCGTACATGATGCTTCCTAATTTAATATTAGCATTTATGGGCAATTTTTTGGATCTATTTCAAGAAGAAAACTTCAAATGTACGGACGTCCATAACGTCTTAACTTTTGAGATATAGAGTGGTGAAGTTTTCAAAATTGCTTATCCTGTTATTAACATTTTTAAATGCCTCTCTAGATATTTTCTTTAGAATCGGCATACATGTCGATCAAGATGCATTTTTATTGCACTACATTTTACCCGCCTATTTTGGGGAACATTGATAATATTCCACTGATTTCTCTCAAGACAAAAAATATCCATGAAATCCCTAATCATTTCTAATCTGTTTTTCTGCATGAATACAATAATATCGTCAATAAGACAATATCACCCAGCCGAGAAATAGCTATTATTTTTAGGGTGAAAATACAGATCTCAATTTTCTCTTATTGCGAGAAAAGTCAGAGTCGTATTACTGTCCTTCTGTATTGAAAATATTTCACTATTACTACTACTAATTTCATGTCCCAAATGTTTAGGACATACGTTCATATGAAGTTTTCTTCTCAAAATGGATCGAAAAATCGCTCCCTTAATTATTAACAAGCAATTAGAAAAAAACCTGCATACTACTTATTTCCATCGGTCTGTCTTTCACTTCCGTGATCTCTAAAACGGCTTTTATAAAATTTGGGGAGTAGCATGCTGTGATATCATAGTGGGTAATGTTTCTTTATATTCGCGAGTTGCTTAAATCAGGGCTGTCCAACATACGGCCCGCGAACTGCTTTCTTGCGGCCCGCTTCACGGGTCATGTATACATCACATGTATAAATTACTCTCAAATACCGAATATGCACAATTCTTACATTAACGATAAAATACAATAACATGTGACGCCACTAGCGACCGATGGCAGGCCGCAGCGAATTTACTGGAAATGGGACCAATCTCTAGATCATCCCCGAATATTCGAGAAGCCACGGGCGCGTATATAAGAAGGTTGAATCAAGCGGGACAGGCAGTTTTGTTCTAGTGCTAGTGCGTTTCAGTACACAGCAACTCTAAAGCCTTTTTAAGTGAAATACTCCGTGAAATATGTCTTCACAGAAACGAAAAATAACGAATACGAACATCGAGTTTATAATGACCGTTGGGAATCAGAATATTTAATCTCAAACAATAATAATAAACTTCAGTGCATTGTTTGTATGCAAGTACTATCGGTTCCTAAAGAATATAATATGAAACGACATTACACGAGAAAACGTTTCGGCAATATTCAGGGGACTCGAGGCAGGCTATCATAACCGAATACAAGAAAAAACTAAAACAACAAACAAGTTTTTTCAAAAAATCTGACGCTAACAATTGCAGTATTGCCGCCTCTTACAAAATAGCGCTGGAAATGGTCAAAGCAAAAAAACCTTTTAGTGATGGAGTGCTTATCAAAAAGTGTGCAATAGTAATGGCGAAACAATTCAATGAATTAAAATTTGAGTATCGCATCAAACAATCGCGGGTGGACCATATCAATGAACATGTATCCAAAAAATTGCGTGACGTGGTTGAAAAATGTAAATATTTTTCGCTATGCCTGGATGAAAGCACTGATCTGTTTGACATTAGCCAGCTTGTAATTTTTATCCGAACTATTCAAGACGACTTCAGTGTAGCAGAGGAGATGCTTGACCTTATTCCTCTCCATGGTACAACCAAGGGTACAGATATTTTTGAAGCTGTGAATAAGTTGGTGTCAGACTACCGGGGATTTGATAAATGTTCCTGTATTGTCAGTGATGGCGCCAGAGCTAAGACAGAGACAGAAATTGGACTTGCAGGACTATTGAAACAAAACAGCATCAACTGTCCTATGATACATTGTATTGTTCACCAAGAGAGCTTATGTGGAAAATCTTTACGTCAAATAAATGTCATGAAAGTGGCTGTTAAAATAACTAATATTGTTAGAAGGGACAATCGTGCTTTGACTCACAGAAAGTTTCGTGATTTCTTGGCCGAAGTGGATGCTACATATGGGGACTTGTTACTTCACACCGATGTTCGTCGGGTAAGCGCCGGAAAGTGTTTGCAAAGATTTTTCGCTCTACGTAAGGAAATTCCTATTTTCCTTAAAATGAAGTGAAGTCCGACACTACGGAACCGGAAAATCAGATGCACAACTTTTAGCAGACCTTACATTTTTAACAGACATGACATCTCACCTTAACGAATTGAATTTGCTACAAGGAAAACAGCAGAATATTGCCAACTTATTTGGACATATAAATGGGTTTAAGAATAAAATTAAGCTTTTCAAGTCTTCATTACAAAAAAATGATTCTTCAGTTATAAAGAACATTTCGAAGAAATGAAGGATTTTGAGGAAGTTTCATATTTACCTCATATAAAATACATTGACACAATTGCAGAAGAATTCAAAAATCGATTTAGTGACTTTAAAAAAATCGAAAGCGATATTTCAGTTTTTACTCAGCCACTAATAATTTCTGTTGAGAACGTAAGCAGAGCAGGCCTTCAACTGGAATTGTGTGATTTGCAATCAGATCCTTTTTACCAAGGAAGAACTGAAACTGGCTTGGACTTTTTTAATTTACTGCCAGGAGAACGATACCCCAACTTGCGAAACTTAGGACTTACAATGGGATCAATGATGGGAAGCACGTATCTTTGCGAAAGCAGCTTTTCCAACATGAAATTTATCAAGTCAGAGTATAGATGTTCCCTCTCTGATAAGTCACTTACTCAGTTACTTCGTTTATCAACAACAAATATTAATGTTAATATTGATGCATTAGTATTAGAAAACCAACATCCTCAAATGTCCCACTGATTTTTTTGTAATTTCATATTTTTTTAATATATAAAAATAATAGAAAAACTATTTTTGTATACTATTTAGTATAGTATATACCTATTAAAACTCAGTAATAATGTTGTATAGAAAGATTTTATAATGCGGCCCTCCAAACTGCATTTTTATTGAAGTGGCCCTTGGGCCACATTAAGTTGGACAGCCCTGGCTTAAATGATAGAGGAATTATGAGCAACCAATAAAACAGGCTCACATCATCTAACAGTTTGTTTTTGTATGTTATACAGCCTTCTGAAATGTTTGAGGCTAAGCAAACATTTTTAGAGAAGTTACAGTGCTGAAATATTATGAAAATTTACTTTTCAGGTTTTGATTCTTTAGCAATGCTTATTTTCGATTTGAGGAAAATTTGAAAATAGACATTCGTGAATGCGTGGGAAGCACAGAGCTGATTTATATTTTTACCGAAAGCTTTTTCGTTGAATCAGCCATAAGTGCAGACGATTTCAGTGTTTTAAAATTTCCAGCCTCTTAATAGAGTATCACTTCTGATAGTCATAGTTGTCTCACCTAAGCCCTAAGAGATAATTAGATGACTTCAAATTTTCAAAAGCTTTTTTTAGTTGCAGTTGTAATCTAGAGGGTTAAAAGTAGGAAGCGTTTTATTACGACCCTAGCTATGCGATCTAAAAATCTTCCAGCTGGCGCTACTTTGCTGTATCTCACAGAAGGGTAGATTCCCGAAACGAAAAAAAACCTAAAAAACCGAACAGAGAGTGCAAAGGCGCCAGGTCGTATCAATATTTACGACCTTTCCCAGCAGCCGATATTTATGATTCAATACATAACGTTTTTATCGCGCCGACTGGGACAATTTGTCCCCGATGATATATTATTTCAACCACATTAAAGCCGGACCTCTTAACCTGTTCGCGAAGTAAAATACTGCGAGTGGCCATATCGGAGACTTGCAGTTCCCACACTTTGTTTTCCGCTATCAGGTGCAGATGTTGTGGTATTAGCCGGTCTAACGTATCTTCGTCGACATTGAATACCAAATATGTTACATGAATGTGATTTTATCTAGATCAGAGTTCCCCAAACTTTTTTGTGTCATGTTTTTCCGTGTTGGGTAGACCCCCTACTTACCTGATATTGATTTCCTGTAAATTTCTAACTGTAGTGAAGTTTAGTGTTAAAAACTTAAAGTAAAAGCACATGTTAATTTATACATTTATTAATTGAATTTAAATTAAAACTACTCAAAATAAAATTTTGTATCTGTTATGTAAAATATACGTAACATTAAATAAACAGGTGTCTGACCAATAAGTGCCCGCATTGGGAATAAGTGCCCGCATTGAAAAAAAATTAAGAGGGATAAAAAAAAAGTGAAAAATAATAAAAAAAAGTTTTTTACTTAAAATAGTACAATAAGCGAGTTCGTTCACTAATTATAACATAAACGTATGTTCTACAATAATTTCACTGTTAGTTTGATTAAATTCCGCTTCTTGTACGTTTAAGTTATCTAAAAATAGGCAAAAAATTTACGAATTTTAGTGTGTACCCTTGAATTTTCAGAATACTTATTAAAAAAAATATTTTCTATTTTCTTTAAAGAAATCAATGCCGGCATTTATTGGTCAGACACCAATAAACATAAAATAACCTATAAATAAAATAACAAGCAATAAGTCAATATTTTTAGTGAGAAGGATGAACCTGATGCTTTAATAATAAATTATCAACATTTGGCGTCAGTTTTGTAAGGGTTAATCTTAAATCTCCTCGGCTAATGATGTCCAGTCTGTTTCTTTTTTTCGTTAGGAGATTGGTAACAGCGCTGAACCCCCTTTCTACTAGGTATGACGATGGAAAGGAAATTAAAAATTTCCTCGCTATATTCCATAATACGGGATAAGTAACGGGTATGTTGTTTTGCAGCCAGAATTGCTAATATCCGTTTTTAAACTGAACCTTAAGTTCTTCGTTTGTACTTAGTTCAGTCAGTTCCTCTTGTATTATGACATTCGTTTCTTCTATGTCACCATATGGACTAATTATCCACGGTGGTATTACCATAGTCAAAATATCCTCAAACCTAGATTCAAAATCTGAATAGAGGGCATTTAAATGTTGAACGTCGTCTTCCTGGCAGCTTGTCTGTGACAAATTGGGGAACTGTACAATATTTTGCTTCATTAGTTTAACTCTGGCAAGAAACGCTAATAAGATGGACTTTGTTTTAATCAAATTTAAACTGTCGCCTTGTAATTGCAAATTAACCATATTAAATTTTGTAAACAAATCTGTTAAATAGGCGATGTCTGTTTTCCTCTTCATTAAATTTTCGTTTAAAATTTTATGTTTAGTATCCAGTAATTCTAAAATAGTCTCGGTTCGGTTTACTGCATCAATGACTAAATGAAGTGATTCATGCAATCTAACACTCAAATTTTTAGCAACTAAATGTTGTCGATGGATGACGCAATGTATTGCTAACACCCCTGACACATTTTTTTTTAAATAGCTTATAAATCCACGATAAGGTCCAACCATGGCAGGTGCTCCATCTGTAGCTACTGATATTATATTTGATAAAGGAATTGCTTTTTCAATGAAGTAATCCTTCGAAACATGAAATATTGATTCACCTTTAGTGTCGCTTATCAAAGTTCTTGCGAAGAGCAATTCTTCGTAGATTTCTTGATTCATAATAAAACGAACATATGCCAATAATAATGCTGCATTATCAGGTAAAGTTGACTCGTCCAGTTGTATAGAGAAATGGGACGTTTGCAAATAATTACATAAGAAGCTTTCAATATCAGAACTCATTTCATCAATATGTCTTTCAACAGTATTGTTGCTTAAGGGAATTCTTTTAATGATATCAGATGCAGGTTTGTGTAAAACAGTTTTTAAAACCTCTTCAACGGCTGGCAAAATTAACTTCTCTCCGATAGTATGCGGTTTTCCGAATTTTGCTATAAGTAACGAGATATTCTAAGACGCCCGCAAACCATCATCATTTCTTTGTGACGTCGAATCGAACATTCTGTCCAGTGTAGGTCTCTTTTGAAATTTATCTTTGAGTGTTTGAAAGTATTTCAAATCTTTCTCTGTTTTATCAGGGTGGCATCTTCTCAGATGATCTTGCAGTTTAGATGTTTTCATAGCGCCATTGCCCAAAACTTTGTTGCATAAAAGGCACATAGGCGGTTGTTTGTCCGGCAATGATGGAATGAAGCCAAATTTCAAATAATCAACACTGTACTGTCTACATTTCTTTTTAGATTCGGACATGGCATCAGTCATCTGTGGGCAAAATTAAATTATTTAAATAAGACAGAAAATCCCGCAGCTGTATATTAAAAATATTTTTTGACTTTTTCGAAAACATTCCATAATTCGAACATCTTGCAACAATTAGCTCGAAAAACGGAGATTGCACTGTAATTATATTACCGATTGCTAAAACTTTCAAAAAGAAACTATTGAGGAGTACTCGTGTAATTTTGCACGATTGAATATTTAACTACTAATAACTAAAGTCATGATTGGCGTAATTTATCTATCTTTGCTAACTACGAGTACAAAACTAAAATTTAATAAAAAAATAATGTACCTACTTTTCTCCAGCACTCTCAAACCAAATAACACTGACTCATTATAATTTGTGTGATATACTATCTGTTTATATTTTTTAAAATACTTTCTTAGCACTTTCCTTTTCAAGATTCAGGAAACGAATAAACGTATTTGTCCCACATTCGTATTTATAGAGTGACAAATTGAACAAGTCAGTGCAAGGTAGCGAAGCTCTGAGACTGCGACTCTCAAGTTCAAAATGTATTGCGACCACAAAGCGAATACCAACATCCCACAACTTACACAATTTTATAAACATATATAATAAATTTTTTACTTCATAGGTACTTTTATAAATAATGTATATGTTTTGATATTATAAGATAGTATGATGTAAGTAAATAGGTACTATCAGTGTATGTGTTGAGATCCACTATCGTGGACCCCCAAATTCATTTCATGGACCCCCAAATTTTTTGTCGCTGACGTACACCCCTTGCAGGTTGTCATGGACTCCTAGGGGTCGATATAGACCACTTTGGGAATCAATGATCTAGATATATAGGTATTTTGGTAAGTTAACTGGATCGCGGCTACTATGGGGAGCTTGAAGAAACAGTTTTTGAGCTGCTTAGGGTTAAGAGAACTGGAAAAAGCCTCTTCATGTAGATTGTTCCCAATCTCGATACTATAGGGATAAAGGAGCGGTCATATCGGTCAGTTCTGGATGTACGACGTTCGACACCGTTGAGAGATGGTTGAAATGGGTAGGGACTATGGAGGAGTTAGGACTAATTGTTTGGGCCTATTGAGCTGAATCGATCCACTTAATTCCTCATAGGGACTAAGTTGTAATCCTATATGCACTGATGAAAACGTTGTGTGGCAAGTGCAGAGTCAACCAACTACTACCATTTTTAGAGGACTAGTGCTACCGGACAGATGACAGGCGCCAGGCCGATAGACGGAGATTACTGTGTTTTTATGTGCAACGCGAAAACATTTTCTGTTGACAAACGCTCTTGGTTACTGAACTAAAGTTACATATAAATCGATCCCGTTTCCAAGCAACAGACATAAACAAGGCAACACTTACATTACTGCATTAGAAGTTACCATGATTATTTGTTTGGGTCCAATCGGTTGTGGAAAGACTTTGATGTTGAAAAAACTCCAAAATGACGACAGCATTGATGAGACGACAACTGCAGTGCCAACAATGGGAGTCAATTTGTTTAACGTTAAAATCAACCAAAAGGAGTATCAGATAAGAGAACTTGGAGGAACAATGGCACCCTTGTGGCCGAAATATTATGAAGGTTTGTGAGTCATATCTGTAATAACATGATCCACACACTATAACATGAAAGGACATTAATGAAATACTAAGATCGCTAGCTATGATATACTGTTATAGTTTCTGGTGTTAATTTGTTTATGTTACAAAACACTGTTAATATTTTACCTCTCTGGACTTCTTGACATCTTGTATTGAATCTTCTACTGCAACTTTTTGAGACGTAACTACTTTTAACAGGTGTGACAAAGGTAATTTATGTTGTGGACGCATCAAATTTATGTCAAATTTCTGCCGCTGGAGTTCTGTTGTACTCTACTCTGGTACACCCTTCCTTGCAGAATGCTAAGGTGAGTATAACGTAGCGTATTTACAAAATCAAATACACTCTAATAAGTTTGCTGGAAACTACAACTTATTCTTGATAGTGGCACATGTAATACAATTAGAATATTACGCTTTTACCCTTAAATTATCAGATTTTTTGTTTTGGAGTCTGTTTGGTTTGTGAAGGCTTGCGAAAATAGTCTTATGTCATTCTTTTAGTTTGTCTTGGTGTTGACTAAGATGGATTTGAGCTATCGTCAAATGAGGAATGAAGCACTTTTGATGCTGCAGATGAAACGGCTGATGAAGGAAATACCTCAAAGTATGACAATAACTGAAGCCAGCGCTATAACTGGCGAAGGGAAAGAAGAAATACTGAAATGGATTGCAAAATAATTTGACAAAATGGATTTTTTAAATAATATGTAGGTGAATCACCGGTATTGTGATTATTGCTGATTCGTAATTTCTTTTTCAGCTTCTTGGTCATAATAAGGCGGCTGCCTCGACAGCCACCGATTCCTTTCTGTGATGTTTTTTCATTTCGGAGATTTATATATTAGTTCATTTAACACTTCAATAAAAGTGAGGGGTTTGAGTTTTCTACATAGTGCTTTACAAAACGGTATCCGTACCCGTCCTCCCCAAATTGCTTTCGGAGGAGGTTAAGTTAGCAGGTTGAAATTAATGAGATTGATGTGTAGTAATTAGCTTAAGTTATGCATGACCGTTGCCCAGGGCTGAACGATGCTCGTTATCATCTATTAAAAGCTAAACTTTTCCCTTTATACATTATCCTCTTATTAATTTGAAAGCTTCTTGTGTTCTTTTGAAACGAAACAAACACAAGACAGATATAAACAAATATTGAAAACCTGTTTTTCAGCAAATATTTGATGAGCTACTTCGTCAACCGTAATTAATTATGAACTATCTGGATCTGGATTTTTACTTCCCACATCTGCTGGCTAGAAAGCACATATTGTAATAGCGAAAAATCGAAAATGAGGTATTATATTTTTTGAACGTTATATGAAGTACATCACGGAAAACCATGTCACTTATTTCGGTCCGTCTGTCCTCTAATCCTTGGTTCTGCTATAACATGTAAAGTACTACTCGGGCTTCGGTGACATTTTTACTACCATGCCAAGTAAGAAAATCGGTCCAGTGGCGGCGGAGAAGAAGGCTAAAAACTGAAAAAATGAAAATAGCTCAAAATTCGGTTTTTGACATTTCAGAGAATCCGGATCAACTTTGAACATTTTTTTGGGTATATGATTGGGGGCGGAGGAGGGTGTACTATAATTTTTTTGGTCGCTACATATTTATAAGTGTCTAGCCTCACTCATTTTTAAGACAGAATGATGAAAAATGTTTTGTATATGTATAAATTGCAAACATTCAACAGTCTATGAAGATATGTTGTGTAACAAAAAATCTCATATATTTTCAGTACTACAAGTGATATATGGGCATACGAAAGTTGTCCTCGATTAAAGAAAAATAATTGTAGTATATTAAGTACGCCCCTGGTTCCCCAAAATTGCGCATGTACGATGAGTACTATCACCGGGACACGTTTTTGCACACAGTATGTCGGGGTTCGGATTGTAACAGTTGTATCGGTGATCTATAATAAACCATTAGTATACTTCCGGGTATTATTGATACCAACTAAGACATTACATGACGACGAAGGTTGTTAAAGAACTCGCCGGGTGAGGTTAAGTGACCAGGGACGTCTCAACCCGACGGCAGAACTGGGTCGGGGTCAGTGTGTCAGGTTAGTATGCAACCTTCAACCGACGGTTACGGTCACGCATGTAGACACATTGTCAACAAACATTTTCGGTGAATGTTTGGGCTGGCATGGTGAACGGTATGCTCATTGGACCATTTATTCTCCCAAATCGATTGGACGGGATGCAATACCTAGACTTTTTACGCAACATTTTGCCTTCCTTGTTAGAAGGTGTGCCATTAAGTGTAAGACAATCAATGTGGTTTCTGCGTCTGCTCGGTAGCGCTTCAGCTGATTTCATTTTCTGTTGGAGTGGTATGATTTCGGGCAGAGACGTACTTAGCCCTTCTCGTCAACTGGAGAGTGAGTACTTTTTCCTTTATTTTTTTTTACTTGGTCGCCCTCGCTTCACTACACATTACCTTTGTTATTTCAAGGGTAGTTGTTTCTGAAAAGGAAAACCCCAACTTTGCGGACACCCTGATATCGATATTTTAGTTGAGAATGTCATGTTGAAATTTGAAGTTGACAGTGGATCAGCTGTTAGTGTTTTGCCACTTCATGTTTACAAAACATATTTTGGTGCTCACGTCATGAAAAAAACAAAAGTTTCCTTGATTAATTTTTCTGGCAATAAGATCATGCCACATAGCACAATCAACTTAAATGTTAAATTTAATTTCAAAGAAAGCATCCTACGCTTTTTTGTTGTTGATGGTAACAATCCATTGCTCCTAGGTCGAGATTTTATTAGGAATTATAATATGGGATTTAGAGAAATTCATTATTTCAACAACGATGCTGTTGATGCTCTATGTAATGAGTTTCCTGGCGTTTTTGCAAACAATTTGGGAAGGTTCAGCAAGTGTAAGATCTAGATAAATATTAAACTTGATGCAAATCCCATTTTTCATAAACCTAGACCGTCACCATTTGCAATTAAAGGTAAAGCGGAAGGAGGAATTAGATAAATTAGTTTCTAAGGGTATAATATCTCCAGTGGAGTTTTCAGAATGGGGTACCTCAATAGTACCAATTTTGAAGAAAGATGGAGGAATAAGAATTTGTTGTGATTATAAGATAACTATTAATTCAGCTATTCTAGTGGACAAATTTCCCTTGCCTAGAATTGACGACTTATTCACAAAACTGAAAAATGGAAAGCAATTTTCCAAAATTGATCTCTCATCGGCTAACAATCAAATAGAGCTCGAGGACTCTTCAAAAACATTTATGGAGCAGCTGTCCAATAAAATACCCCGTGTATGTGTTTTTCTTGATGATATTTTAGTTACAGGTATCGATAAAGAAGATCATATTAGAAATTTGAAAAGGGTTTTTTTTGTCTTTCCGAATACGGTCTCATTGTTAGAAAAGTAAAGTGTGTGTTTTTTGCTGATTCCCTCTCATATTTAGGGTTTGTTATAGACGAGACAGGCCTACATAAAAGTTTAGGAAGAGTTAAGGCAATACGCGACATTTCTTCACCAGAAAATGTCACTCAACTTAAGTCTTTTTTAGTCAGTATCACTTATTATAATCGTTTCATCAGAAATCTACCAGATATACTTCACCCTTTATATAATCTTTTGAAAATAGATGTAAGTTGGTCATGGGATAAAACATGTCAGGATTCATTTGAGTATATTAAACTTGCATTATGGTCTGACGATGTGTTGGTGCATTATAATCCTGACCTGCCAGTTACTTTGACTATTGGTTGCTCTGGCTATGGAGTAGGAGCAGTTTCATCTTATATTTTTGAAAATGGTGTCGAAAAGCCAATTTGTTATGCGTCAACTCTCTCGAAAAACGAGTTGGCATACTCTATTTTGGATAAAGAAGCTACCGCGATTGTTTGGAGTGTTAAACGATTTTACCAATATTTGTGGGGTAGAAAATTTACCTTGGTCACAGATAATAGGGCACTCATGTCAATTTTTGGACCTAAAAGGGGTGTTCCAGTGATGGCAGCAAATAGACTGCAGAGATATGCACATTTTCTGAGTGGCGTCAATTTTGATATCAAGCATGTGTCATCCATTCAAAATGTAGCTGACTTCCTAAGCAGAATGCCGATTGAAGATGACATGTCTGTGCAACTTATCGACTTCCCCATTCTTTTAAATTATCTCACTAATTCCGATTCTATACTATAACTATCTAAAACTGTAATGACTCATCGATGTTCACGTGAACATCACTTAACTACCAGTAGTCGGCTGTTCATAGGCGGGGTATGAATGTTTAACATGGGTGAACTAGATTTGTCACATGCTTAATAAAGAGTGGTTTGAAACATATTGTAAGTCAAAAATTTGGGAATTACCTTTATTCATCGTCGTTTCCACTTACATCTGACAGTAATAAACTGTCGCTATCGCTTTCCTCGTTGAAATTGACTATAACTGGCTCTATGATGGTGTCGATGTGGTGGTCAAGCTGCCACACTTTTGTTTCTTCCTTCACAACATGACGGATAGCATTCTGCCAAGCTTCGGGCATTACTAGCTGTATGGAAGTCTCAAGTAAAACCTTAACGTCTGGTAATTTGAAGGTTGTGTTAATGCGCGCAATATAACCCTTCACTTCAGCCCAGATGAGCTCTATTGGGTTCAGTACACAGTGGTAGGGCGGTAACCGCAGCACAGTGACACCACATTGACGGGCCATCTCATCAGTCATGTAACTAATGTTCGCAGGTTTGTACTGTTTAATTTTTTCATACAATTCCGCTTTCACACATGAATCGTCAAACGGGATTCCTTTTTCGCGCAATCATTGCTGCATGTCACTTTTTCGAGATCCCATAGTCGGTACACGTTCGGCTCGACGACTATGGTAGGAAGCATTATCCATGACGATCACAGAGCTGGGCTCAACTCGCTGGAGCACCCCTTGAAACCAGCTCTCGAAGCAGCTGGCATTCATTTCGTCCTGGTAATCACCTCCTTTCTTAGAGACGAAAATCAAGTCACACTCTTCTAAAAAGCCACTATCGCTACGAATATGAGTTACGATCAATCTTTGACCTTTCCCTGACGGTCCACGAAGACCTGTTGACAAACTTTCAATGCTTGCTTGTTGGTTACTCACTTCGTTTTTGTCTATCCAGGTTTTTTTAACTGTGTGACCTGCATTTACCCATGTCTCGTCCAAATAATAGAATGTTCTGCTTTGTCGCCTATATTCAATCATTTCGCGTAGGTATTTTCGACGCCAGGCGACTATTTCAGGTCTCTCTATCAATACTGACTTCCGGTTACGCGTTTCGTAACGAAAATTAATTTCATGCAGGGATTTCCTCATTACCTCGACGCTCATTTGGGGTATAATTTCATTTTCCTTGATCGCTGCATGTACAGCCTTGAGGGTTGGTATCTCATTCCTAAAGAAGAATGAATGTACGGTTCGCCTTAACGCCATTTTGCTATCGTCATCCAATTTAACGACCTTTCGTCCCTTCAAATTAAACTTTGGATCAGTAGTAGCTCCAGTTTTCTTCTTTTCATGCACCACCCTGCGAATGGTCCACTCTGGAACGCCTGTCATACTTTCACAACGCACGAGTGCATCTCCCTGCTACATAGTTCTGTTCAGATAATTGAACACGTTGAGCACGATTTCTTTCGCGTCCCTCTTCAGTGCTTTACGAAGCCGTCTGTTCCCTGGCTTTCAGTACTTCCACTCGTGCCATTTGTACTCTCCATGGTTAAGTATAACCAAAACAGTAAGCACAGAAACCACAACAATAACAATCACACACCAATTCTTATAAAAACACACAATATGCGATCGCTCAACGAAACACGTTCCAATGCGTTGCCGACGCCTATGAGTCTGCCGGTCGAGGCGCGTCTTTGACTTCATTGGTTCTACCGGCGGAGAACAATCAGCCATTATTTCCATCTCTGTCTGTGCTGTTGACCACCGCAAAGCCACAGAAACGACATATGTCGTACGCTATACGGCTGTACTGGAAGGAAGCCGAGATCGAGCTCTGATCATGTGTTGATCACGCGTATGAGTCATTACAGTTTTAAATAGTTGTAGTATAGT